AAAAATGGGATTTATTTATTAAATTATCAAATAAAGGGTGACATTTTTAAGATATAAATATACAAAATTTCACATTGGATTATACATGATTTGATAAATTTATTGAACACAAACGAAAATATTGAGATTTATTTTATAAAAATTCAAGACCTTGTTTACATTTTATGTGTATTTATGCTAGATTTTATTCAAATTTATATTTAAATATTAAATGAAGCTAATCTTTCTTCTACAAAAAGACATTTAAATTTAGAAAAAATGTTTATATTATTAAATCCTTAGAATAATAGAATAATCTTGGTCGAATTAAATCATTTGCATATGGATAGTCCCACCAGGGTTATTGATGAAACAAATTCATTTAAGAAACAAAAGAACTAACTTTCATATTTCTGTTGATTATGACAGAAAACTCTTGTGAAATCTGTAATAAGAAAATATTTATTTATTTGATTAATAAAATCTATCTTGTGATCTTGAGAATCAACGTGTTAATACAATGAACTCTTTTTTTAAAGTAAACTTATGATCATCTTAAATTTTCAGGAAATCTACAACCGATATATGCATTATAGGATATTCAAATCAATCAAAAAATTCTTGATTCGTGCTAAATATCTCAAAGATGCGTTGCTATTGTACATAAACAAACTTACTCTACTTGTAAATCCTCATGTAGCATTTGAGATTTCGTATTCTCATATTGCTCATCAATCTAATATTTTTTGGACCCAATGATAAGTTTACACTTTTATTATGCTTGACAACTTTTGGCTTGAATATCGTGATGATATGTAGTTATACCATTGAATGGATTTGTGATCGTAGATGTGACATAGATTTGAACCTTTCTTAAAAGAGGTTCAAATCTATATAAACATTTTAAAATTGATCAACAAAATATAAAATTTGAAAGTTTTGAGCTCTAGAGACATATATGCAATAGTATTATATCTTTATGTATCATTATATACAAAGCATTTTGAGTAAAAACGAGCTTATGAAGACGTGTGCAGTCGTTTTTTCTTTATATGTATGAGAAGATAGCCAATATTTTCCCTATTGATGTGAAAATCGTTGGACACGTAAATTATAGTTTATTTGCGCTCGGAGTGGTCCTGTTAGAGAACTATTTTCTTATCTGAGGCCATGCGGTTAGTCCGGGCCGAGGTTCATCTCTAATCCCGATGGGGAGTTAGTGTAACAAAAAGAATCCAAGACGAAGACATTGTAAGAATATCAACTGTTTTTTCCCATATACTTCAAATCATGGACGTAAATTTTAATAAATGTTTATGAGAGGTAATATTCTTTAAGAACACGTTGTACAAATTCTGCTAATCTATACTGAAATTTTTCATATCTTTAGCCGCTAGTGGAAAACTCATCACATTACATTATTCTTATTGGTATGCAGACTTTATTTCTTTTTTGCATTCCGTTGGAGTATACAATTTGGATTTGTTTAGTTACATCAGCAAAAATATTTTACAATATGGGGTTATGAAGACTAGCCCGTGCTACTTATTTGCTTTGATGCTGATGAGGCTTGATGGGACCTTCCCATCAAATTTGCTAAACGACTTAGTCCTCCTTCTTAGTTTAATCATCTCATTTTCGCAATGGTCGAGATTCTTCCAGAAGGAGTGCAGTACTGCCAGAGTTTCATCCCATAATCAGCACAGGAACAGACAGACGTGGCAAATAGAGTAATTTAGAATTTCGTACATTTCCACTCAGAAGATTGACAAGAAGTCAAACTCTGACAGTCGTTAACGTCTTTCTCCTCGGTATCCGCTTCTGGACGAGACCAATTAATAAAGTAACTGGCTTTGACTATGACCGACTCCGAGAGTCTAGAAGTCTGTCACTAGAGGAGCCCTGTGGACTGTAGGTACACCAAAGTCAAGCACTCATCGCACCTTCAGTATAATAAAGCAAGAGGGAGGAGCCCTGTGGACTGTAGGTACACCAAAGTCAAGCACTCATAGCATCTTCAGTATAAAAAAGCAAGAGGGAGGAGCCCTGTGGACGGTAGGTACACCGATGTCAAGCACTCGAAACCAGCGCGTCCAATAACGAGCCAGCGCACCTTCAGTATAATAAAGCAAGAGGGTAGAATTGGGCTATAAGCTGAGTGATGGAGAGTGGAAGGCGGGCTGGAGTGAAGGAAGTCAACCAGAACTACACGTGGTAGTAAATTCTCCGGAAGTTGCTACTCTCCTATTTGCTTCTGTCGTAAGGTCTCGGCTTGATTTGCCAGTAATCTTTGCGGTCCTACAAGTGGTGCAAGTGCTGTGATGTAACTTGATCTCTCACTATACCAGCTCGTGAATTGTAAAGTACATTTATTCACATTGATACTTAGACGTCTATCAGAGGAATACCATTGAGCGTCAGACTTCAGTCATACTGGACAGCTGTCATTGATTGCAAGAGGGGATTGCGACTAAAATTTGACTTCCGCACCAGATTCTGCAATTTCCACTGCACAGGAATTAACCCTCGCCTGCTTGGAAAGCAGAAAGGTGGTGAGGATATTCCTTCTCCACCTAGTCTGAAGAGGGCTTTTAGCACATTCTGGAGGTATTGGTAGACATATTGTCAACTAGTTCCACTGCTCTCGAAGTAACAGGAGTAGCACAGAGTAGGTGCTTGTACTTATGTTGGGTGTGCACAGAAGAAGAAGACTTGATGTGGCGGCATAATGTAACAATAAAAAAATGTAGAGATCTGACAAGAATACACTAGCATCGAAATATATCTCATGTGCATGAAGGTCGGGGTTCGCATGAGGTGATTCCTTGACGCACAATCTTGACACACTTAAGAACTCTAAATTTTCATGGAGAGATAATGTATTGTCCATTGAACCTTTTGGCCTTGAGACGAGGATGTAAAGATCGCTGTTAATAAAGACGGTTTGCACAAGAGAACAAAAGCTCTGTCGTCTCCATCACAAGAGCTGAAGCGACCCAGCCGAGTGCCAGGATCAATGATTTTGAGGATGGACGGAGCTGATAACACAAAACACACCGGAACATCCGCAACAAAAAAGCTACATAGGAAGATCATCTAACCAAAATTTCATACAAACATCAGAAGATTGTGTCACCGCACGTCAGCAGTGGTATGAGCAGACATGGATGCAATGTCCTGGTAACCGAGCGTCGCCAGGATTGAGTTTTGGAAGTCCAATTCCACCCAACATCCTTCATCCTTCTGATCTTGTCTTCCTATGAACGTTCTCATTGAGCAGCATCAGGATGAGATATTTTTTCCATCAGTTAGGTCCAGGTGAGGAGGAGGAGAGCTGGATTTCTGAGTCTGAAAGTCCTGTAAGTTGACCGATCATCCCTCTTCTCTTCCGTGCTGCTTAGATTCTCTAGTGCTTTCACATCTGAAATTTAGAGTCTCTCTATCCAATGTGCACTTTCCGAGTTGACAATGTGTTATGAGCGATCATCATGAGTCCAACATGCATGCTCCGAATAAGCACCAGAAAAGATTCTTTGATTTGGTTGGCGCGCATGAAGAATCGTCCTCGGTCGGTAATGAATCAGTCTCATTGACGGGGCCACACGCTTGAAAGCTCGATGTTCGACCCCTTCAATTGGATATAAACATTTCGTTCCACTTGGTCATTCAAATCTTTCAATCTGTTCACTTTACCGCGAGGAATCCATCGAAACGATTACTTTAGATTTCGCTTCCCACATCTGGTCTTCAAGTCTCTCGAAAAAAGCCTTCATCTCAGCAGCTTTGCAACAGAAAATATTCAACTGGGATGGAAGACGGTACTGAAGAAATTAATAATCTCTCCTCTGGCAGACATCTTACGCCTTTGGGTTTATCCGTGGACTGCTAGATGAATCTCCAACATCTTTATTGCTACAAATTTATACTCTGAGTTCCAATGAAGTAGCTTACAAGGGAGATGCTGTGAGTACTTAACGTGTGGTAGACTTACATGACTGTACCCCTGCCTTCTGCATAATAGAATAGGTACCTCGTCATGTACGGGAAATGGATTGTAACATACCTTTCACCTACTTGAAACCAAATGGGTCGTTTGGAGCTAGATCCCAACAGAGTTTTCAATTTCACGATGGAAAACTTGTCCTATTATATGCGCAGCTGGCGCAAAATAACTGTAGTCAACTTGTTGCCAGAACATGATAAATAACATGCATTGTGATCGTGGAGTATCGGGTTGAGCTCTCAAGATGTCAAGACTTCGTCATGGAAGGAAGCTTGACGAAGTCTTTAGTGGAAAGAGATCTCCGTGTAATCTTCCCTCCCGATATGAGACAGCTGCAACAGTTGATAATACCCAAAAGGCTTCGAAATATCTGATTAACCTCCTCAAAGATGAAAGGGGGCCTCAGGGAAATTTCATAATTACTTTTAAGCCTATAGTTAAAGATCAAATTTCAGCCAGTGAAGATATTCTTTATTACCTCTGAATTGGATCAATCGATAGGAAATAGGAATGTAAGATCCAAAAGTGACGCGCTTTTTTGGAATCTGCTTGATCTCAGTTAGACGTTATATTCTCTGTCTTACAGACTTGGCGTCTAGAATTTTCCAGTTATTACTCTTGTCCCTTCAGCAGCCGACAGAAGCTCAGGGGATCTGAGCACACATGCCGTATACAAAAAAAGAAGAAGGACGATTTGCTTTTTAATAAGCTGACTGTTGAAGTGGGCTCCCCTCCCATTGAGATGGCCACGAGGAACAATATCGACCGCTTTTCCGGATTTTCGTTGAAACTGGTGTACCAGTAAGTGCTCCAGTCATTGAGGTGAAAAATCTCGTGCCTGGTGACGTACTAGAGCGCGTTGAAATTAAAAAAGTACTCAAAAGGAAATCCTGATTGATTACGTGTCTTGATCCTCGCCCGACGACTCGCCCAACCAGGAAGGAAGGGGCAAGGAAGCACATCGGGTGTATGTGAGAGGGTGAAGCCTCGAACATTTGCCCTGGGCTGTCGTGGTCTTGTTCTGCTCATTGACAGTCGAGAGTTTTAGAGAAGTGACGCGAAGGAAAGGACCTCCAGCGTTGCTCTTCATGGCAGCCAGCACACCACTTCCATGTGAGGGTGAAGCCTCGAACATTTGCCCTGGGCTGTCGTGGTCTTGTTCTGCTCATTGACAGTCGAGAGTTTTAGAGAAGTGACGCGAAGGAAAGGACCTCCAGCGTTGCTCTTCATGGCAGCCAGCACACCACTTCCATGTGAGGGTGAAGCCTCGAACATTTGCCCTGGGCTGTCGTGGTCTTGTTCTGCTCATTGACAGTCGAGAGTTTTAGAGAAGTGACGCGAAGGAAAGGACCTCCAGCGTTGCTCTTCATGGCAGCCAGCACACCACTTCCATGTGAGGGTGAAGCCTCGAACATTTGCCCTGGGCTGTCGTGGTCTTGTTCTGCTCATTGACAGTCGAGAGTTTTAGAGAAGTGACGCGAAGGAAAGGACCTCCAGCGTTGCTCTTCATGGCAGCCAGCACACCACTTCCATGTGAGGGTGAAGCCTCGAACATTTGCCCTGGGCTGTCGTGGTCTTGTTCTGCTCATTGACAGTCGAGAGTTTTAGAGAAGTGACGCGAAGGAAAGGACCTCCAGCGTTGCTCTTCATGGCAGCCAGCACACCACTTCCATGTGAGGGTGAAGCCTCGAACATTTGCCCTGGGCTGTCGTGGTCTTGTTCTGCTCATTGACAGTCGAGAGTTTTAGAGAAGTGACGCGAAGGAAAGGACCTCCAGCGTTGCTCTTCATGGCAGCCAGCACACCACTTCCATGTGAGGGTGAGCTCGAGCCCCATCGGAGCTAATATATATCAAATATTTGAGTTTCCATGTAAGTTTGTCTTATTCTTTAGACTTTGAACGAGATCTTCATCTGAAGTCATGATTCATTGTTATCTTTCCACAACGCAGAGTACTTCACATCTGAGTTATCTGCGCTTCCATGCTTTCCATGAAATTCGGAGTACACATCTCACTATCTTTGCTACGAACTCTTTTGTATTGCAGATTCACCGGCAGAGCTGTAATCTTGTACACTCAGTTTGGTCACTAGTGCACATCGAACACCTCTCTACTCTCTCAGTTCGAATTCGCAAAAGGTTTGCGTTTATATGAAGTCCCCTTTGCACAAGCTTTATGATTTACTTTGGAACCAGAATCCTGGTTCTCTGCATTCATTTTGATTCACAACGCTTGTAGTGCCTTTGAGCAGCTCCTACTTCCACTTTTTACAATCTTCCAACGTTCGTGGTGATTGCCATGATCTCATTCTGTGAAGAGCATTGAGTAATCTTTCTGTTGTTCCTCATGCAGAGTGCAAGAAGTCTTAAGTTTTCTTTGGGTGAGCTGGTCCTGCGGATCGAGGAGGGGGCCTCCTGTAGTCCCGGTCACGTTTCGCTCACGCATGTAAAGCAGCAAACGGTTCTTCCTCTGTGAGAGAGAGAGTGGAGGAGAGAATGGAAAGTGCAGGTGCGTCCATCGTCAGGGATCCTGCTGAACTTGCGACAGGGGGGATGGACTCCGCAGACGAGGAACTGAAGCTTCCTTCCGCTGTTCAGGACCTTATACGGAAGCTGGATAACAAAACCGAGCCTTTACGGTGGCTTCCCACATTAACCTATCCACAATTTCAGGATTTTTTTCCGCAGCGTGCATTGCTTTCGACTATCACAGGGTGGCAAAGCCAAGTTCGCCTTCGAGTGCTGGAGGCAATCGGCAGCTGCAACACCCTTCAATATCTGGACGTTCAGGATATTTTTAGCGGAGATATTTCGAGGCTAAAGGCTAACGAGTGGGAGGTACTTCTGAGGGGTTTTAGCTGTAGCACCCATCTACGAGTGATAAGAGTTGAAAGATTGACATGGACCTCACTTGCGGAATTGGAGAGCTTGTGTTTACAGCTGGGGGGAATTCTGAGAACCTCTAGTGTAACAGATATGAGAATTGGCGATTGCAGATTGAGTGATAGATGTTTCTTGAATCTCGCATCAAGACTGGGAGGAAATTACCAGTCTAAACTCAAGACTTTAGAACTATGTAATGCATGGAAGGACTCGAGTGCGATGAAGCATATGGCTGACATGATCAAGAGTGCTACTCGATTAGAAACTTTGGAAATAGGGGGTTCGTGGGAGCGCATGTACGACATGGATGAGGAGGCCGCTAGAATCCTGTCGCAGGCTTTAATCCAGAGCTCATCCTTGAGAAAATTGGTTCTAAGGGAGGTGAAGGGCGAAGCGTCGACCTTCTTGCTGAAGGCCTTCAGCAAGAAGGCATTGGATGGAGATGGCGGCAATCAAGCTATTCAATGTCTTCATCTAATTTCTGTGTTTGGACTCGGAGACTCTTTACGAGAACTTCTGAGCTCCAACTCATACTTGGAGGAAGTGACGTTGGCAGCCATCGACATGCGTCCCGAAGAATGGAGCCGACTGGGCCAAGCCATACGCGAGAATGCTACAGCAAAATCTATTCGCGTAACCCATTTCATGCGTCAGAAAGATGACTTGAAGGGAGTAGAAGAGCTTGTGTGTGCTGCTAGCTCAGATGATAAGGACCCCAAAGTGGAGCTGATTATCACATTTTACGATTACGATGCATTGATCTCAGCACTCAACTTTGTGGGTGAGGTATTGCGCGGAGAAATCAGATCTCTAGAATCTTTGATTCTATATTTCAATTGTTCTTGCCCTCCAGGCAGCAACGAAAATAGAATGCCAAGTATCGTCCCAATGGATGAAAATCTTAGAGACACTACAGTCCTGAAGAGACTGAAATTATTTTTCAAAAAGAAAGATACTTTGAAGGGAGTATGGAAGTACCTGCTTGTGTGCTTGCGAAATAACACAAGTCTCACTCAATTGGATTTGTCTGACTCTGAACTCGATGACGAGGCGTTCAGAGACCTGATGGGGCTACTTCAAAAGAACTTGACTCTCCGGGCGATAGAAGTCTCAGGAACCTCATGGCAAACGGACGGAAAGGCGGCGCTGATTCAACAGGCCCTCGAGCAGAACCGGAAGCGGGCAGAATACATGGCCGTGTTCCGAGAAGCCAGATTAGCGTTTGGAGATGCAAAAGTCGGTCGACTCTTTTTATGCGGCTCTCCTCGAGCAGGTGAGGTCCTCTGTCAGCTCTCAGTTTTTTTCTCAATGCATAAAAAAGTTAGCCATCTAAGGTTTTAATTCTAAAATTCTCTTCTCTTTAATTTTAGATTTTGATGTGAGATTTGAAAATTTCTAATACTATTTATTAACACACTATGATTAGAGAATATGGTTTCAAGTATTTTGTAAAAAGAAATCAATTAACAAGTTTTCAATGTTCCATTTGTGATATCTATGTTAAATTTATCAGGCAAGACTCAATTGCGTCAAACCCTGATGAGGATAGTTCAAGGCAAAAGTTGGCTTGGGAACAAAGTGGCGAGGTTGTTCAGAACTACAGGAATTGAAGTGGAGTTTTTACAAAACAATGAGGAGAGGCAAATTTCAATTTGGGATCTTGCGGGACAAGAGATTTTTCGTACTCTTCAAAATGTGCTTTTTCCTCCAACTAGCAGTTTTTGTATTTTTCTCTTTGTGTTTAGTCCTTTCTGTCACAAAACATCTTTGATTAAACCAGCATCTTGTCTTCAGATAGAGTTGGAGGAATGGTTGAGTTTCATCACATCCTGCACGAGGGTCACGGGAGATAATCTTCCACAAGTTCTTGTTGTGATTTCACACAAGGATAAAATGCAATCCATTCCTTTGACGTGGGCTCAACCAATAGTGGAAAATCTGTCAAAACAATTTGCAAATTTTGTGGATGTCCATCCTATTCAAGAGCGTTTTCATATAAATGCTCGAAAGAAGAAGCAAGTTGTTCCTCTCAAAAATCACATTTTTCAAATATTTGAAAAGTTGTTGAGTGAAAGGTCCCCACAGGTTCCTAAATTGTGTTTTCAACTCTCCTCTGACTTGGTTACAAACACCAAGAATCACTCAAGTTGTCCTCTTTGGACATCTCAACAATTTCATGAATTCTGTACCCCTAGGTTGAGAAAACTCATTCCATCTTCTCCTCCTCTCTTCGTTGAGAGAATAATTAGTTCCATCAAATCCTATTTGAATGACGTTGGATCTATAGTTCATATTCCCAATCTTGATTATATCATCGTCAATCCAAATTGGCTCACGAATACATTATTGGGTGAGCTGATAGCTTTTGGTCAAAATTTTCAAGCTCAAGATTCTGAGTCTTCTGATAGATGGAGCTCATACACAAGCAAGGACGGATTTGTGAGTGAGAGTGTCTTTGCTCGGTTGATAGAAGAGTTTCTAGAAAAGCAACCACATGGACAGAGAAGTGTGGACAGAAAGGTGCTTGAAAACATCCTTATCAATTTGGATTTATGTTTCAAGCTCGAAGATACTTCTCAGTATTTTATTCCCTCCTTCATACCTGAGCATGCAAGCATGGAAGAAGAGTCGGCCGTACAGTCGATGGCTTGGAAAACTTGGAATGAGACTTCAAAGTTTGCGGGCATGCGGATTCAATGCCAAGATGCAAGAACAATGTCACTGACCGCAGCTTTTTTTCCATGCTTCCAGGTGATTTCATACATACTGTGAGAAAAGTAAATTCGTCAAGTTCTGATTGTATCTTGTGCACTATGAATGGAATGTTGCCTTTTCATATGTTAATTTCAATTTTTTGAATTTGAATCTCAATATTAACCAAATTTGATATTATTGTAGATGTTCATGAGACGCAAGTTGATATCGGAGATGGGTTTTTCCAAGGAGACTGTGACCTGCTCTCGATATTCTCTGCATCTTTTCCTTGACGGGCATGAAATTTATGTGGAGCAAGACAAGTCGCACAAATACGTGGATGTTCTGATGTTATGCTCGAGTCATCAGCCAAGGGAGAGGGCTACTAAATATGTGATGAAGCATATCATCCAGGAGTTGATATCATTTTGCGCATCATCGAAAGGTTGTCCCGGGGTGGCTTTAGTGTTGCATGTGATCCAAACACGTTGCGTGAAGATGTTGATTCCAAGTAATCTCAGAGGAGCCATTTCGATCGAGGAGCTGAAAGCAAATTACATTCGTCGCATCAATGAGAAACTTGAAGAAATGTCGTTGGAAAGGATGGAGGAGCAAGAGTTGTTACACTATGAGCACTGTTGGCGTCCGATTAAAGGCCACTTCAGCTGGGATAACGAACGAGCAAGGGATTTGTTGTGGGAGAGTGATGTGGAAGCAGTTGTGGATGAGATTCTACAGAATGGAATCCAACAATTAGAGTCATTGCAGGAAGGTCTAATTACAGTGAATTATGATTTGGCTGAGTGTTATGCTGAAGGTGAAAACATGATTAGCGGCTCCAATGCCCCCAAAATGAAAGACCTCAAACCACTTTCATTCATTCATAGCATCGTGCAAGGAGTGGACATGAAAATACAACACATACTCTCTGTGCAACAAGAACTGCAAGGAGTGGACATGAAAATACAACACATACTCTCTGTGCAACAAGAACTGCACTCAACGTTGAGTGACTTCATGTTTAAGGTGGACAGGATCATTGGCTATCGACAAGCGTTTCAGCAGGTAAAAACGCCCAAACGACCCTATGTTACGGATGATGTGGGAATTTTATATAAGTTGAGTGCAGGTCTGCATGTTGGGAGAATTGTTCGATTACACTTGATGTGTGAGTCGGTGACTGGGTTTCACACTGTCGAAGATCAAGAAGGGTTGAAGATACGATTGGATTTGGAGAAGTGGGGGTGGATTCAGAAAACTATTGAAATTTCATACAAAGTCATATATTATGCTGCAAAGGCTGGACTGGATGGAACCCTCGGGATAGTACAAGCGATTCCGGCTTGGGCAGATTTGGAATCGGATATTGTTAAACTGGATGGTATTAGCCGTGAAGATCGCAAGGCAGTTCTAAAAGGTGGGGAAAGCAAGGAGCTGAATGAAGCATGGCTGAGGATTCAACAAATTCTTGCGCTTGAGCTTCAAAAGCGCTATTCCAAAATCTTCAAGTTGTATCAGGTGAAGTACGTGAGTTTAAAAAAAGGTGGGCATGCATGGGTGTGCGAAGAGTGCATGAATAAAGGCCTTTGTAGTAGAAGTTTGATATGTTAGGATTTAGAACAGGTTAGAATGCCATTATGCAATTGACAAGCATATCTTTAGACCCTCATGCAATATACAACTCTGCAAATTCTTCCTTGCAGATTTCACAAGGAAGAAGTCTTCTATAATTTTTGCCATCATGTCAATCGCACAGTTATGTTTCTGAAGAAGTTCAGTGTTTGGCCAAACTATGAAGATGACGATTTGAGGGTAGAGTGTTCATATTGTCTCTTTGCAAGTCTCGCTATGATGAAAACCCTTCCGTTGACACGTGAGGGTGGTCATGTTGAACTTCCACACATATCCCTGACTGATTCTTATGTCCCACGATGAAGGTCCCACAAATGTATGATGGACCGGAACTAAAAATTAAGATGTGTTATAATTTTCAAGTACTATCCGTGTTTAAACAAGAGAGAAATATAGTCTGAAGAGAATGCTTTTGCAAGTATTCATGCACAATATCCGATCTGTGAAGCTCAGAAATTCAGAAATTCAGAAATTTGTAGCTCATGTGAATCTTCTTCTGCCACTTCTTTGTATGATCAGAAGATTTCACAAGATTTTCTAGGAGGCCTAACTCCAGTTCGAATGCATCTTACCCGTAAAACAAAACCTGTGCACAAATTTCTGTCCTGTGATATATTGTTGAGGTGTTATCAGAGTTTTTCGTTCGGTAGTCTTTGTGCGACATCGTGATAACGTGCTGTTTCATAGACATCGTGATAACATGCTGTTTCATAGCGCGGGGTTCTCAGCGCATTTTAAATCTCCAGCACGCTCAGAACTGTCACGTGTATAAATGTAGTACTTTCAAAGCACAAATGCTTTTGCAATTGGACTGCGTGTAGACGTTGAGTTAAAGAGAATCTTTAGGTGGAGCATAAATTTTCAAAGGATGCAAGACCTCGTTTGCTGAATATGATGGGGAATGTGATTCTGGTTGCAAGTCCTTGACTAGGATTTTCAGTTTGCATTCATCTCGCAGAATGTAAATAACGTATGGTTTAATTGAACCAATCATGGGCGCTATCTGGACTGGGATATCTCTCTTTCAGGAAGATCATCACCTACAAATATTGTTTACGCAGTTGTAAATAGTCTTCTGAGAGCAAAGACCAGAACAATCATGGTGATTGCGATGAATTGAACAGAGAAGTATATCACGAATCGATTAGTTGAGGTCATACCAGAGAAAATTATACATCTCTAAATATAGTCCAGAAAGCTGCCTTCCAAATCCTCCTCATCAACGGTAATCAAGTTGATAGAGACCCAAAGCTTAGATTAGCGGTGTACAATTAGTTTTCCGAACCAGATCTGGGATGTCAGCATGCTCCTACGTCACGTCATGAAGTGTTCAAGATACGGAGGTATGGACTTTCCTAATCTGGACTTCGAAACACGAGTTGGGCATTGCAGCAGCAGGCACTTGAAGAGATGAACCCCGCCGCGCAAAAGCCTTTGTCAAATGTTGGTATTGTGATTGGGGATCCAGTGAATATTTAGGTTGAGGATGGTGCAGAGTTTGTGAGACTTTGCTTTCTTATACTCGAAAATTATTCGAAATTGGTGGGCCTGGCAACTTCGCACAGGTCTGCAGAAACGGCAGCAGACGTGTTTCTGGTGGCGGGATTGATGATGCTATGAGCTTTTATCTAGTGAATAGTCACTCTGTCACCTTAGCTGTCTGCTATCCGACTCTGTCATCTTTGATCACCACTGCCATCTCCGTCTATGTTCTGACACGATCATTATTTTCTATGGAGCATCTGCGTCTGTCCGCAGTTCGAGGAATATTGCCCAAGATTTGAGTTCGACTCACTCAACCAGGTTTTAACCTGTGACCCTTACTAGAACTCTAATTTACAATCTTACGTGGTTCACCCAAAGCCTCAGTTCATCATTTACAAAAACTCGGGCGAAGAATTTCCATTTGATGCCGACCGTCAACATTTTGCCTGCTCCGGTTTACAGGCAATCTACAACTGATGCTGCGCGTTGTTTGCCATACGCTGACAAACCTCTCAGTGGAGGTTTCCTTCAAAACCCCTCTATGATTCGCTAGTTCCAGAACCAAGGACATTTGCAAGGATTTTCAATTATTCTTAAACTTGATTACTTCCGTGGTTCTTTGTTCGCAAACTAAAGTGTTTATCCAAGATTATAAGCATCCGATACAATGCAATGAATTTTTTTTTCCATATAACATATCCACTTGATCCATAAAAATATGATTCTTACCATGAACTGGAGCTCTGTTTTGGGCATTAATAAAAAAAAAGTATGAAATATCGATAACAAAAAGAGATCCGTTATTAGGGTGTAATTGTTAGAAATCTTACTACTTTACAGTTAATCTAGATAGCCACTGAGAGTGACATAATACAAAAGTACAGAGAAAATGTCATCCGTTGAACTAAAATGCATTTGTGAATCTATTCATCTGACGTCCCTGGCTTTGTGAAGCTCGGTGTTTCCGAACCGAATGGATGCCAAGAAGATGGGCTTCAAAACTTCAAAATCGATAACTTGACTGCATGAACCAAACACGATCACATCTGGATGTTTTTGTGCCAGCAAAGTACAACCGAAAAGTGACACCAGCTTAACCTTCAAGATGCTCTAGGTAGAGGATAAACATTTTCTGAAGGAGTCACACGAAGATGATTGTGTGTAACATCTTGACTTATGAACAGATTATCCATTCCTAGCAGGGAAATTTATCAATTTTTCCCGTTGAGTCCTAAGGCAACCCCTGGACTCAGCCCCAATTCTCTTAATTTTCAATGAGTTTATCTTCACCTTGCAAGATCGCTTGTGACCTCAATTTTCATGATTGAAAGGCTTGATATAAACTGGAAGTGAACATACTTTCAAGATTCTTGTGGTACCCCACTTTTGGTAATTTTGAGGAAATTAAAACATTTTTGGAAAACTGTGCCCTGGCAGCAATGTAAATAGCCTTCGGTGCATCAAAACAGAGTGAATGCGGAAGATCGCAGAGATTCTCGAGGAATCTCGTAGAATCTAGGAGTTGGGTGCAGCGGTAAGGACGGCCACCACCCTCTTTGCGAACTCTGCAGCTAGGATCCCTACGGCGCAAGGCGCAAAACGCGCCTTCGGAGCTGCGTCCGCGGCGGTAGGGAAATCCTTCGTATTTAGGTTAACCCCCGGACGCCTTGACTTAGTTAGGGTCTCGTTGGAAAGAGCTCGACGCACTGATTCCAACTAGCCCAAGAACGCCAACAACGGATAAGGACTCAGGGAGTTATGAAGGTTGTAAGATACTCAGCTCTTCGCCTGCGCACAGGCGGAGAAGTTTTGTCCTATGCGCGGACGAAGGAAGTTCGCCTGTGCACAGGCGAGATAGGGTTTTTGAGATAGGCGCAAAGTTTGTCTACGCACAGTCGTCCGCCTGTGCACAGGCGCTTTGGCGTCGGCGGGAAATCCGCCTTGGGCCCTAGAAATGCGCCTTGTGAGGTAGAAATTGTACGGCGCCTTTTGCGCCAGCGCATCGCCGCGGACGAGCAAGGAGCCGCCAGAATAGTAAAATCCGTACGGACCGTACGGACGGGACGGATGGATGCGCTCTTGGACGGACGGAGTTGTGGCGGCGGAAGCGACGACGAAGAGACAAGGAATGGACAGTCTGGACGGAGTCGGTTGACCGCGGTCAACGCCTTCCGCGCCAGCGCATCGCCGCGGACGGACTTCGCCTGCGCACAGGCGAGCGCCTGTGCACAGGAGGGTGAAGTTCCGAACCGGCGGAGAATCCGCCGAGGAGTCCGCCTGCGCGCAGGCGGGGGTTGAACTTTTGTCCGACATGCGGACACACGCGCCGAGGCGGAAGAGGATTGGCTGAGGAGCGGTACGTACGAGTGTACCGCGCAAGGCGGAAAATCCGCCTTCGGCGCTGCGCACCCAGGTCCGACGGCGTAGAACGCTCGCGGAGTTCAAACTCGCCAATTCGAGCGTGAGAGTTTTATCGGCGACGGCGGAGTGTGAAGCCGCGCGTGAGAGCGTAGACCGTTTCAGCATAGAGCCGGCGCGGCCACCAATTGAGACGTCCTCGACGAGCAAGAGCCAACCATGACCTTCGACCGGGCGGAGGAGAGCGTCCCATTCTTGAATTCGCGATTCCATTCTCTAGTGCGAGCTGCGCGCGTCCATCTGCTGGCTGCGAAGCATTCTCGACATCGCCGCGCAGAGGATTTCTTGGTGATTGAGGAAGAAGTGAGTGCGCGTGATTTGGAATTGAGGGCAATTAGAGTTTGCCGAGGAAGAAAGGAGCTCGAGCGGAGCGGAAGTAGAATGAGCGGGCGGGCGAACTCCAAGAACGCAATGACGAGACTGGGCCGATTGCGGATGCTGCCGCTCCGTTTACCACAGAACGGGCTGCGCGCTTTCGAGGAGCGCTTGATAGCAAGAAAGCTCGATTTCTTGCTATGGGGATGGAACTACATCTGTGCGAATATGGTGCGCGAGTGGCTAGAGCCACAGGGACCACCCTCGCGCGGATTGCGTCCGCATGTTGATCGGTGGACAGTCCAAGATTGGGCGCAGGCATTGGGGAGATGTGCCGGCATGCCAGGGCACCTCCTCTTCGACAGTGAGAGCATCAAGGTGACCAAGCAGGAAGAGGCGCAATTTGTGGAGCTGTTCAAGACCGGGAGGTCTACCAAGAATGGGTACAGGACCCGCGATTACAAGGATCGATTCCGCCGGACTTTGTCCGCGGCGCTGATGCAATTACTGCAGCCACACCGCGCCTGCTACATCACACTGTGGCAGGTCTCTTTTGTGGAGTGCGTCATCGAGGGAACTCCAATTCACTGGGCGAGCATTCTGCACAGGGTGATGCGACAGCACGCTTTTGAGGAGAAGGGGGGAACTCTAAACCATCTCTCTCCTTTACTCATCAATTTTTATCGACAGCGGAATTGTTTGACAGCGGCGGAGCTTGCGCGTTTTCCGCCGTTGTCCGTCGACCATCCCGGGAAGTATGTGCGGGAGAATGAGGTCGACACTGATGCAGAGGAGTCACCGACTTCTACTCCGTCAAGGCGGAGGGACGAAGGGAGGAACACTCCTGCAGCACGAGCGCCGCGGAAGCGGCGATGGAGAGAGGAGTCCGAAGAGGAGCAGCATCAAGAACCCTCTGCTCCCATTCGACCGCGGCC